CCAACACTTGCTGGAAGCGGCGCTCCAGTGCTGCGTCCTGCACGCGCATGGCAGGCAATCAGCCGCGAAGCTGGCTGACTCACTGACTCTGTCTGAGCGGAGCTAGAAGAAAGCTTGCATTAGTGTCATTTTGGCACCAGCTCACTGCACACACACACGCACACATATCAATCGCAAGGATTCAATGCGACATCTCCTACAATGTCCTAATAGATCTCCTTGTACCTTCTTAGCTCCCTCTTTCAAAGCAAATTTGGATACCAGCTCCTTGGCCCCCTTCCAACCAGCAGCTAGTCCCACACGCACACACACACACACACACACACACACACACACACACACACACACACACACGCGCGCGCATGGCTTGCTGGTTCTCAGCAGGGAATGAGGGAGTCTTCCTTTAAGGGAATTCCGAGGTTCAGCATGGAGATGCACCCGTGGCCTTCTCGATGTACTGACGGTACTCGTCCAAGGTGGTGGCGCCTACGCAGCGCAGCTCCCCCCGCGCCAGCAGAGGCTTCAGCAAGTTCCCCGCATCCATGGCCTCGAGCCCCGGCGGCTCGGCTCGCTCGTGGGCTTTCTACCCCCTAGTCTTAGTGGCGATGCGTCTACACGGCGAAAAGGACTTTTATGTCAATTGGCGGGCAACGGCGTTCCATTTATGTTTTTGTTCGGACAGGTTGTGTGAGCTTGATCTGATTTGCTGGCAAAGCAATGCAGAAGCTCAGGGGTAAAGGCAATCTCTCACATCTTGCCGGCGAGTATCACCGCCGCTGGCACCAGCGCCAACAATGGTGTGGATTTCCTTGGGCGCGTGAAGGAATGGCTAAGCACGATCAAGCACCGTAAGGCCCTAAGATGCTCGACTGCAGCCTTGTGCCATGTCGGGCTTTACGACATGCTAAACTGGCTGTGGCCGGCCAAGTGTCGTCAATGAAGGAAATAATTTTGCCATCTGCCTCCTTGATTTCCTTCAAGACGGCTTTCAAGCGCTCCTCAAATTCACCTGGCACCGCCGTGTCTGTCAAAACCACTTGTCAAGCTCTCTGCCATGCACGCGCGCGGCGCAGCAAATGCCTATGGCCGACGAATAAGGTCACCTTCACGTGGCTTTGGATGAACATTACGGTAGTCTCAAATCCCGGATCCAAAGCGAGCAGGCACTGACCATGGCCCGTGTTCCGTGAGCTCCGGCCTCGGTACTTGGCACCGGCGACCATGCCGCCGATGTCCAGCGAGATGACCTGCGTGTGCAGCGAGCCTTGGGACAAACCTTGCCCGCAACTCGCACCAGCCAAAGCCTTGACTCTTGACCCATGCTCCATCACACGTGTATGCAAATGTTACGCAATATATAATACATCTACAGATAGAGGTATACGGTTGAATGCCATGCGCACGTCTGTCTGCGAACAATTGAGGATGACATCTATAAACAGCATCTCTGCGTGCACATCTTAATACAAGGAGACCACATGTAGATTTTGCTTGTGCAAGCATACTAATACACATCTCCAGTCCTAACTGAAGCACCCCAGTAACAACAAACAGGCCTTGTTACTCGGCCGCTGCACAAGGCGCTTAATTTCCTACGGATAGTTTGAATCCCCTCAAGCCTAAAATTCGGTGACGCTTCGAATGACGCTTACAATGCAAAGCCCCTCAAGTCCTAAAAAGCCCAACATGCGTGAAACGCTAAGCTTGATTCCAATCTTAAGTTTGGCTTTGCCTTCGCCGGCATCCTCGCTTTTGCCAGCTCTCATCTAAAGTTTCTCCTGACCCCTTAAATCCAGTTGACGCTTAAAATGACGCTCAAAGTTTGTCTTTGCCAGCGTGTCCGTCTATGCTCGGCTTCATCACGGGAATGTTGTCTTCAAGAATTGACATGCACGTGTGTCTTCATGTTTGATTGCAAGCTGTCGCCTCATAAGATGTAGTTGGGATCCCTGATTGCCGTACTGATGTACACATGAGTACTGCAACAGGTGCATGTGTACTAGACCGATTGCATGTGTTGTTGCATGTCTCTGTCTCTCGCTCTCTCGTTCTTGTTCTCTCTTTCTCTCCAGCTGCGCCTCCTTGTCCTGCAAAGCCTGCGGCACATCTCCGTCAACAATGCGCCGAGCCAGGCCCTCCACAATAGCGGTCTTGCCGACGCCAGGCTCTCCAATGATCACCTCGCAGAGCACTGGGCAAAGCGTTTGGCTTGTGAACCGGTGATGAGCACGTGCCCTTCACACGAATCCATCCAAGCACGCAAAAAAAAACCTAGCAATGGCTTCAAAAAAGCAGACTCAAGCCAGGACCGGCCCGCAAGCACATGCATGCAGCCAACTACCTCTCATGACGCCAAGGAGCTGGATTGTTCTTTGACCTCCGTGCCAGGATCTGGATTACCTTGATTCTCGAAACGCGACATCCTGAAAGAGGCCAAACCGCCTACCCCACAAGAGGGAGGGAATTATCAGGTACACCCCGAAGCAGGTACAAGGTTATGCAGTTGTGCAGGAGTCTGGGAGAGCGTCCCCGTGTCAAAGTAAGACTTCAGCATCGCATGTTGACACTCTTGCTTCCAGAACCTATTCTTCGTGTCGGTGTGATGCTGTCGGGGCGCTCGCCGGATCTCTTCATCCCGGCCGATGACAGGGTCCAGCTTGCCTTCCCGCGCCATGCTCGTGAGGTCAGTGCCATAGGTGCGCAAGGCTTCGTATGTGCTCTCGGGGTTTTGCGTCGTGACCTCGGGCATCCACAGGCATGCCCTTCCCTTGGTTGCTGCTGACCCCCCTGCAAAAAGTTTAACTTTTTGGGGGTTTAGTGGAAAACCCCTCGATTTCCCAAAGAAGTTAAAGTCTAAAGATCCAACCCAATAGCAGTTAAGTTCCCATCTCAACGCCAGCTGCGTTAACCAGCGCCTGGCGCCCGTTTCGTGTGGCCGAGCCGCTCTGCTGCTCCCTCGCACCTCATCAATCGCCGCTTTCAGCTTGGGCTCATCACAGCCGCAGTCTGTGAAGAAGCGTTGCCCGCAGCGCTTGTCCTCTTCCAGAAGCACACAGAGTGGACATGGGATCAAACTGGTTTCCTTCCTGCCCGAGGAAAAGACCCCCTTCAGCCGAACTCGAGCCATTGAGTTGTGACTTGTGTTTGGTGTTTACTCTCTCTCTCTCGCTCTCTGTCTTCATCTTCATCTATGTTCAAATATATTGCTGTGCCCCAATTTGCAGGAAACCCTTGACTACACAGCCAAAAGTAAGCAGAAAAAAAGGAAGAACAATTACATGGGCCGTTGGGTTCAAAGACAAGTACAATGATACAAGCAATAAGCATATAATAAGTATTCATTTGCGATGCTTTGTATCTCTTAGTTTAAAATTCCTGGGTTCCTACATGGGAAAGAAGGAGCAAATCACACGCTGCAGGAAAGCCCCCCTGGCGGTGTCCCCAGCCGAAAAGCACAAAAGGGCGCCACACCCCGCCCAGCCTTGGCAAAGGCGAAGAGGAGGTGCTCCACGGAGATAAATTTGTCGCCCCACTGAGAGGCCGCCTTGGCTGGGACGCACCGCAGCCAGGCGGCAAATGCCATGAAACTGTGCGCCAGTCATTCCAACGTTCGGGATCTTGCACCGTGGAGGCAAAGGCAAAGGCGTGCGTTGCAACGCCGGGTTTGGTGGCCATGTTGCATGTCGTCGCCCTTGTGAAATCCAAGTGGCTGGGTCTTCCCCTCCCCTCGCCTAACCAGCCGCTCTCTCTGCCTGGGCGCGGCGTCGGCGTCGGAGATCATGGTGACCAGGCTGCGGCCAGCAGCGCTGCCCATGGCAGCGCCTGGGGAGGTGACCTGGCACACCGGACCACCGGAGGCCGGCCAAATGGCCAGGCCGAAGCCGCAGACTGAGTCAGCCCTCTGGCCAAATGGCCGGGGAGGAAGGATGGTCAAGACTTGTGGAATGTCCAGCTCCCCCAACTATCAAGGAACAAACGTCATGAAATCAAACGAAGCCTCTTAACATGGCTGCATGCTCTTGGAAAGTGGGTCAATCACGGCAAACACACTTCGCCACTGAACAAAACTCTGTCACGAAGGTAGGGCGAGTACAGCATACTGTGCGTCAGAAAACAGCATGTGAGTCATGCAATTCTGCTGGCGACGTGAGGCAACACGCAGCGCCTTCGGCTGCTTGGCGCTCCACTCCTTACCACGCCAAAAGTTTGATCCTAACTCTCATTAGCGTTTGCAGTCAGCAGGGCTGGCAAACTGCCCAAAGCCAGGCTCATGACAGCACTCTTGAACTGCCAAGGCTCCATGATCTTGTCTGAGGCTGTCTGCTTTTGGATGCCGACCTTCTCCAGTATTCTCGCCGCAAGGCCGCCAGTGGTGGAGATGGGCTGCTCCAAGCACGCCAGGAATACATGCTCGGGCTCCACGTACTGGGACTCCATTCTCTGGGCAAGCTGCGGGGCATCCTGCATCGCCTGCCAGGCAGCGTCGGTGTAGCGCTCCCGGTCCACTGGCACCCGGTCCGCATCCGAGGCAGCCGTGGCCGGCCGCGTCAGCCGCGAGCGCCGGAAGGCGCGGCGGCCACGGGAGCTGGCAAGCGCCAGGAGGCAAAGCCCCGCGGCAGGCCCAGGCCGCGAACGCACGACTGGGGCGGTTGCGACTGGGGCAGCTGGGGGGGCTGGGGCCGGGGCAGCTGCATGGGCCCTGCTCCCACGAGCCCTGACACCTGCGTTCCCAACGACAAAGGCAGGCTGGGAAGCGAGCGAAGCCATCACGCAATGGCACCCAACTGCCTGGCCTATGGCCGCCCTGACGAGCCTTAAAACTGCGGCAGCCTTCAACACTTGCAAAGGGGACCAATTGCCACTGAGGCAACGGACGTAGAGAAACTTGGCTTGACATGGCATTTCGAGGGTAAACTGTGAGAAACGGAGCCGCAAACACCCTGATGTTCTCATTGCGTGCTTCTCTCAGTTCCAAAGTATGGCAAATGCTCATCGTCTGCCTGCAGCTCGCTGCCAACGCCGCGCCCGCCCACAGGCACTGGCGGCTGCGTTGAAGCTGACCGCGGTGGCCTTCACAAAAACAAATATGGGGATCCCGCGTACGCACGCAGGCTGCTACAACCCAGAAACACCTATGAAATGAGTAGAGCGATGCTGGGCCTGCACTCCAAGGAAGCCCTCCCCTCCGTGGCCGTCAAGAAGAAATAGCCTCTGCCAGGGCAGGGCTCTGGTGCCAGGGCCGGCAAATAAGCTCGGGCTGCGTGACAAGCGTCAAGTGCCATAGGCTGAGCTGCGTGCAAACGCAGGGCTCGCTGCCACTGCCTTGCCTGCAAGCGCGACTCGGCTCCGACGGACACGCTGCGGAACCGCATCGCCATGCGAGCTCCCTCCCCTCGGCACAAAAAAGGGGGCGGCTCATGGCCCGCATGGTCTGCATTCCAAAAGGGCCAGCAAGGAGTTCAACACACCCGTTGCAGCATATCCGCACGCCGAGAGCCCCGAAGGCTCCCATGACTGTCGCTCCTTCTCGCAGGCGCTCAGGGCGGCATTCAAGGCCACGCTGCTGATGGGCAGCCGAGCCCGACCTTGGGCAGCCCAGCTGACAAATCTTTTGCCAATTCCCTCCACTTGCTTCGGGCACGTGCTGTTCCCTTGGGGTGGCAGCAATGATGAGGGAAGAAACAATTGCCGCAAAATGGATCTGGCAGGCTACGACTCAAACAGCTGGGGCCCTTACCAAACTGGCTCAGCAATGCCAAGGCTTGCTCCCAACGCCCGCCACCCTGGCAGCACTGGTGAAACACACTGGATGCCTCAAACGGTTTAGAGGCAAAGTGATACACCGCATGGCCCTCACTTGTGACAGGCACCTTCTCGCATGCGCTGACTGCTGCCTCGCAAGCCATCCGTGGCCATACCGCTTAGGGTGCGCAGTAATGATAGCTCCAGGCGTTGATCGTCTCTGCTGAGATCGCCGTGGACCCTGCGCGAATCATCTTGGCAACCTGGAGCCCCAGCTGGCAAGTCAAAGCGAAAAGACAGGCGCCTTGACGGAATCCTATGACACTTTTGGCACACATGTCGTGGACCCCTCACATCTCAGGCTGGCACAACCTCCACCGCCTCAGTGATCAGTGACGGGCAAGGCGCAAAAGCCAACAACCTGCGAGACTGCCATGGGGTGAGACAAAACACGTGAGCCCCTCTCCCATCCCAAACACATCAAACGCCCCCGGGCGCCCAGCCCAGCGCCACTGGCCCTGGGCCGCACAGGCGCTGCAAGCTGTGAAGAAGGCCAAGGCCTGGCTCGGCCAAAACGGGGTGTTAGCTGGAGGCAGGGCATGCGGCCCTTTGAACAAATGCATTCGTTTGGCACACGGTGTATGAGGCGGTGCATTCTTCCATAAGGTTCATTTACCCCTCAGGCTTGGAACCAATCAACAGAATTGAGCTTCTCGCAACTCGCCGACTCTCCACGCCTGTGGCGCTTCAGCTTCTGAAAGCAGCAACACGGCCTCAGTGGCAAAGTCAACTGCGAATCTGGTCGAGGGAAACAGTCAAAGTGACTCCAAAGTGTTGGCACGCTGATCACCCACTTTCAAGGGATGTGCTTGCGGACCCTCTTGAAGAACACTCCTTATGCGGTTTCCAAGTCTTCAAGATAGTCTAGATAGGAAAACTGCCACGTTGAACCTCACACTTTGATGTTGTGCTTGAAGGGTCACTCGTGCTCAATGAATTGTCCCCTTCACAAACCAGCCCCAAAGTTTGCACGAAGCTTCCGGTGCTCGATCAAGTGCCTCGCCCCTTGCCAATGGTCGCCTCGTCCGCCTTGTTCGCCGATACGGGGGGGGGGGGTTCGGTCGCATGGGCTTGTGGAGCACTGCAGCAAACTTCACACATGAGCACCGATCAACACACTCGTTCCCCCAAATGTCATATGGAAAAATTGGGTCGGATCCGGAACGCCCTCCACAAATCGCAACATGGTCAGTTGTCGATCTACTGTGTTCCACTCTGCTCAGCTCAAATTGGGCAACTCAGCCCGGTGCAAGCCATCAAGGCAGAAATTTGGGATACGGCCTCACTCTCATTGACTTCCCTCCCATTCCCCCCCAGTGCATCCACAATCGCTCGCTAACCCTCTGCTTGCCGCCCTTGTCCCACACATCGGCTGGGGTGCCGGCATTTGGCTCTGGGCCTGGCTGGGTCATCAACAGTCTCTTTCATCCACGTGGTCCCCGGAACGGAAGTGAGAGGACGAACATGCTTCTGGTGCAGCAGCCCTGTGAAACCCTTTCACGCTCCGAGGCTTCAACCAACCTCTGCCATCCGTTTGAAGAGTCGAAGCCTGCCGAATCTTTGCACGAAGCCCTTCAATTCTGAAACCCGATCAAAGATCGCGGTGCAGGTCTCTACAGATTCCTCTTGCCTACTTGCCGCAGTCAACCACTCATGTCCCGCCATGCGCACAGAACCAGATGAGAGCCTGGCGCCTCC